TGTTTAATGTATTTTAATCACTAAGAGAATTTTAATTTTACTTTACTCTATTCTACAACTGAATTTCTGTATAATTACAATATTATTTTTGAAAACTTTTTATCCAACGCTGTTAATATTATTATGAATAGTAATATAGTAAAAAAATGATAGTCAATCTACATCGTTAATTTATTTTCTTATCTTATTATTTTAATGTTAACTTTGTATTTTTCTACAAAAATCTATTTTCTAGTTCATTGAAATTGTGTGTGGTTAGTAAAGGAAATTTAAATAATAAAGTTGTATATCCATATTTATAAAATTGTTTATTAACATAATTAACTGCAAGTGGTATTAACATGAATAGTATCAAAATAATTATCCATTTAAAGGTAAAATGTATTAGAATTTTTATATTTAACTTGAATAAATATTTTATTTAATGTTATGAATACATTATAGTTGTCTGATTACGTACGTTTCAAATGTATCATGATAGCAAGGTTTAAGTGTATTTTACTGAAACAATAATTTTTACTTGTAAAAAAAATGTTTCCTAATGATTCGAAATGATTTATTTTAGTTTAAACCCAAAATGTAGTTTAGCGTTGCTTTTTTAGACGTTAACTGCCCCATTAAGATCACAAGCAATAACAATATATTTGTTTTTTTTTTCTTGAACGCACATGAGCCTTATACCTACCTACGTTTCTTTTAATTTATCGTTTTAACTATTGTACACGCAATGTTCAAAATTTTGAAAAAAACTTAATTCACAACTCTGGTTTTTCTAACAGTTTTTAAGAAATGTATAAATGTAAAATAATAACATACAATATAGTTCATTAGCTACAATAATATTAAGGAGTAATTATTTAATGAATATAAAATTTCCCCCATATATACCTTTAGTTTTTGAAGCAATATTATTTATTGTTAGAATTAAATATCGTATGCAAATACATATTAACAGAAATAGGAAAAAAATTTGGTATTGCTCTTCACCGAGGTAAATTTTTTGGAAAGTAGGAGGATATTGTATAGGTATTTATATATTAATAGTGGGTCAATATATAGATATTATAATAATTTAGGTCCCCTAGCTATAGCCTAAACCTTAAATAATAAAATAATTTTCTTTTTGTAAATATTTAATCAAGTGCAATGAATAATATGGATACTTGAAAGTATAAAGTTAACATAAATATTGAGTCACATACTATATATTTTAAATAGATAGTTCTATAGAATTATTTTAGAAAAGTAATCTATAATCAATATATCTTGTATATGTAGGTAGTAGGTTATTGCATTGTTATACATACTGTAAGCGATTTAAAATTGTGTAATATTTTATACATTTACCAAATGTATAGAAAAAAATAAAAGCTATTTATAAACATAATATAATACTTAATGGACTTTTGTGGCTTTTTTTTATGTTTTGTTTTATGTTAAAAAAAAGAGATGTATAGTCGAGATGAGTAGTTTTAAATAATATTTTGTACAAAAATGTATTTATTATTTACAATGGTTTTTTTTATTTTTTATTTTTTTCGTTAAACCAAATTATTACAAATCGCCACATTTGGTTCACTATACCTACCTACGTTACAGAACAATAAATTGTAGTCTTTTGTATTGTTATTATTTTGAGGTTATACGCGATATTCGTAAGACCGATTTATCTAAAAAATGTAAAACCTAAATTATTGACTAAGCTTTTTTAAATTTTCATTTAGAGTAATACATTTTCAAATCAATTAAATTTTTACATGCATTGGCTTTCTGTTTATAATCATTTAATAAAATATTATATAAAAAACAATTAAAAACATCACGTAATACGCAATAATAATAAATGATTAGTAAAAATAAGATTTAATAAAAACAAATTAAATTTAAGTTGAAAATATATGATTTAAAAATTATTGTTATTAATATTAATATTTTATTGTTTAAAAATTTACACTTATGAAGTTTTCTCGTTAGAAAAAAAAAATAGTTTGTATTGCCACTGAAGACTGAATACTCCTTAAATGGCATAAAAAAATCTCTGAGTATTTGGAAATAATAGAAGGTATATGTATATAAAGTGTAGTGTACTTAAGTATTCGAAAAACCAGTATCTACTTGAATAAATACACTATTAAAGGAAAAAATGATGGGCGAGGGTGCATGCTAAATCACCCTGTATATGTACCGTAGACTACCGACTTATACCGTATTTGATGTGAAACGTTTTTGCCGGTGACCGAAATATAGGTACCTTTAGTTTATACCTATGTTTAATCTCGCGTCTATGTCGGCTAGTGCGAGTAAAAATAGCAACCGCTTTACTAAAAAGAACCGTTTATTTTTTGTTTTTTTGGCAGTTCAACCGACAAAGCCGATAAGAGCGGTTGTTCTACGGGACGCGTGTAATATTATATTATAATAACAACAAAGTACATTATAATAATATAATATTACGTTGTGAAGATGATAATAATATCGACAACGGTCGTAGGCACCTATCTCTGATATAATATAATATTATGATGGAAGGTTTTTTTTTCTCTATCGTTTAAACAATAGATAATCGCCTGTTCGTTCGATATAATATTATAGAAAACAAAACCGTTTGAAGGAAACACGTGCAGGTACGTACCTATATACGACTCGATTTAGAAACGTTCTATCCCACGTTGTTTTAAATCCATCGACAGTTGATACGTTAACAAGTTTATTATGTAAACTAACTTAACCTGTAACCCTGCAATGGCCATCATTCCCATCGGCGGCAGTATAGTAATATTCGATTTGAATTGCATATAGATTATAGTTGTTGTATTATTGCGGAGCTTGGGCTTTTTCAAATTGTAATTATATTTTATACGCGGCACTTTGTACTTTTATACGATCGCGCCATAAATCCTTCGAACCGTAAACGAGAAATGCGGGAATAATAAATGTGACGGAAAATTGCATTTATTATTTTGCACAATATAATGCGTATAATATAATATAATAATATTATATATACTATACCTATTTTTACTTATTTTACAATTATTTTTGTAATGCGTAGGTACATTTTATAGTTGTAACTACTAAACTTGATTAAAAATCGGTAACATTCATTAGGTACCTACTTCATTTATTTCATAACCAAAAAACACAATAATTTAGGTACCTATACCTACGACGTTTGTAATAAATGTTTCATAGTAAAGTTTTTTTTTCAAATTCTGTAATCAGTAAAAGTATATAAAAACAGTACACATGTATTCTGTGAAATACAAAATATGATACATGTGTTTCCGATAAAACTTAATAAATAGTTTTGACCCAAAAAACTTTTCATTTCTATTATTATATAAATGTTATAGGTGCTTTTGCGTTTTGTTTACTGTCGTTGCGTTGTGTACATGTTTTAGTAAATATTGAATTATATAGATTATATTTCGAGTAATATTGGTTTTCGTAGATATACACTTAAAAGTTAAAAGTTAAAACCATCAAAACAGAGTGATTTTCCCACTTTAAAACAATATCGTATAATATAAATTAATTCGTTAACAAAATTATCAGTCCAGTAGGTATAATATATTATTAACATAATATTGAGCTATTATATGATTTATGATGTGTACACACCTGTTTTAATAGTAGGTACCATTATTTTGACTATACTCTCCAAATTACAAATAATAATAGCTTACCTACCTATCTGAAACTCGACCAAGATGGAGAGGAGGTTATAATTATTTGTTTTAACAACAATTGATAATGAGTTGAGCTCTCCTCCTCCGACAGTACCCCTCTTAAATCGACTACTTTAATTTTCTTTTAACAATAATGATCATTGTTTATTCAATGATAATTTAAAACAATGTTTACCACAAACACAATAATTAATGAGTACGTTAAAAACCAAAGTCTTACTCCCAAAGTGGGGATCATCTAATCGCCCCTCATCCCTCCCAAAAAATTACAATAACGGCACTGTTATTACTAGTAGACTATGTAGGTGTATTGAGTCGTATATTATTTGTTCAATAATGTTATGTATACCGATTACGAAATCATATTTCTCGTCAGTGCGGATATGACGTTGTTTAATTAAAATAGTTCAAATAAACGACCGAGAGGTATAGGTAGTATATATAATTGTAAATATTATTATTATTATTATTATTATTTATGACTATAGATAATACGCTGGTAAACACGGTTATATTGTTGAGGTTTGACATAAAAATACTAAAGAGCGTGCCGCCCGAAAGAGCAGCGACACGTTGTAAACGCATTCGGTTGCCGACGGTGTGTGCATAAAATATTTCAAAATATAATAATATATTTTCATTAGTTTCGGCTTTAGTGGTTGTTTCACCTGTTTAACAATTTTCGCGAGCGGTATAATAAAGGATCGACTTTAGCCGCAACACAACCGTTGATGGGTTTTCCGTATTATATACGTGTTGGCATATACCTATAACGGGAGTAAAAATTTCGTCTCGTGGTGTAAAATGTTATTTACATCGTATAAATATAAATTATGGCTTAAAAAACTCGAAGTCTGAAAAGTATACATATACGTTGGAATTTATAATGTATTATTCTGCCATAAATTATTATTATTTTATTTTCACTTTTATTTTGTTGTTGTTATGATTTTGTTTACTTACTACAACAGGAATATAACATCCAATTTTTTATCACATGTGTTTCATTCTATATGGCAGAGTGTTAAAGACGTCACAGTGTATGTTTCTCGTATCGTTGTATCGATATCGATAGAATAATTATGTTGCGTACAATAAAATATAATGTAAACAATAAATATTATAGTCTAAGATTTATTTATTGAAACACGATAATTTAAAATACCAGCTATAAACTCTTAAAAAACCAAATTAAAATATACTAAAATTGTCATGTGAATATAATATTAAAAAAGCTACATTTTAAATGTATACCTTGTTAATATTGTGTATTTTCTTTTCAGGAATTTATAACTGCCGCCTGTCGTCATAATGTCTACAAGTCAAAGTGGTTCTGAATTTCCAACTGGCATAGATCAACAGAACAAAAAGTTTACCACTATAATTATTTATCCGACGGGTAAGATTTCAAATGAAAAATTCAAAGAACGGAATAATCTTAAATGCGAATATACTTTATAATTCCACAGTGACTCCAGAGAAGATAATCATACCAATGGTATCGTGTATTTTGGGTTTTCCGTTGTTGGCGTTAATGGTGATATGCTGTTTAAGACGTAGGGCCAAATTGGCGAGGGATCGAGATCGTCGAAGAAATTTAGGGTGAGTCTTTCGGTTACTATACAGCATAATATACTATATTACTATATGTATATGTATTGTTATGTATTAACTAATTAATGTGTTTCTTTTTATTCACTCTAACGATCTAATGCATAGAAATAAACCAAATATTTGCTATTTAAAAAAAAACAATTCTAATTGATACACTATTGACTATAGATCTGAATTTTAATATTCAATTTGAAAGGTTAAAATAGTAAATATCGTGTCACACTGTCACGTGTATAAGCGTAGCAATGGCATATACAGTAGAGATCTGGCCCTTAAATCCCATTAGCTTACTTAATGTAGTCACAATATTCTATTTAGTATAATAATCATGAAAACAATTTTTGTAATAATTATTTTCGTTTATCAAGTTTTGAAATTGATACACGGGGAGGGCCAGAAAATTATGCCACTGGTTATGCCACTTAATGTATTGTTACTAGTACCCATTATATAGCAGCTGAACAATGACCCTATGATGATATTATATTTTATTATAAAATATAAGTGACGTATAGGTTATAAATTAGCCATAATATAGCCTTTATATTATCCATAGAGGTACAACGCACGAACATATTTCAATATATTTTGAAATTTTACAATCGGAAGGGAAACCACCTAAAATTATATCCTAGCTATTTCACAGACATGGTCAGCTGAAACGCTTAAACCAAATATCATATAAATCACACACATATTGTATCGCAATTAATTTTCGTCTTGGCAGTTGGCACTAGCCACTAAGTTATTATATACATTTAAACGGGCAGCGCATGTTAATTGAAATTTAATATTAATTGCGTATTGTTATGGTTCATATTGTTATGGTTATTCCGAAATGAGGTATAGGTATTATTTAAGACATTTCATAAACACTGTCTATGAGAACATTTATCTAGTTTCGCCATTCATTTTCAAAAGCATATTAATTTAAAGTTTTTATAAAATGAAAATACATATTTCTATTAGAGACGTGTATACAGTTTAAACATCAGTATAGTAATAAACACAATGTCACAAACAACATTTTAATTAAAAATAAAATAAAATTACAATGTTCATGAATATTATTAAATTTGTTTGCTTTGTTTTGAACTAAGTAATACAAAAATAATAGTAATATTTAATGTATTAAACCATTTACATTAAATCCATATTAATGGCTATAGAAACTATTCATAACCCAAGAATAAAAAATAAAAAATATTTATAGATACATTTCAATAATAACCATTAAAAATTTAATATGATTTTAGTGTTATTACAATAATAGAGTAGGTGTCATACAATAACTGAAAAAAAATTATTTATTTCAATATTCAAACGAAAATGAATACAAACCTTTTTCGAAGTTATAGATGACAATTAATTCGTTGCATAAAACTTAAAGCACATTGTTTTTTTGGTTCTTATTCTTGGGCACCATTTATCCGTTATCACTTATCAGTATGTCTTTTAGTGTTTATACTTTATACACAAAACGAGCGAAATTAATTTCATCCGGAATAATAATGAAACGTAAATATAATAAATGGTAAATAGTTTTTGGTGTTTTGTTAATTAGAAAATTAAATACTCGATTTTTTAACACTAAACATACACTACATTGTGTATATAGAGTGAATTGTATTACATTTGCGAATGATAATTTGTCAATTTCAAATATGATTATCTAATTTGAAAATAATATAATATTTAAACATATAGGACATAGGTAGGTGATAGGGATAAATTTAAAGTTGTTAATAGTGCTATAGTACTGTATTACTGTATTAATTATTAATTATATAATTTATTCCAATGTTTTTAATTTGCATAATTTTTGTTTCATTTATTTTATAATTATTTAATTATTTATTAATTTATAGTATAAGTATGCTAAAATGTTGTTGATCACCTAAAATTCCCTATTATTTTTTAATCCTAATTAATAATTAAAATTATAGTGATTCAATAATAAATACGTGTTGACATTAAAATACCATATAATTTATATTTAAAATAAAAAAAGTTGTGACAAGGGTCACAGCTTTTTGACAGTCACCATTAACTGTATAAATATATTATAATACATAATTTTACAACGAATCTCTTGGATACCCGAAAACTATATATTTTCTTTCAAAAAAGATTACATTTTTTAAAAGTCTAGACTCTCATACACTCACAAATTCTTAAACCCTTGATTTCGTTTATATAAAAAAAAATATGGTCATGCTTACAGAGAATAAATTCGGTAAATCAGCTACCACCTGTTTGTTGCTATCAAACATTTTTGTAATTTGACGAATTGAAAATCCTACTTTTTCCCATTACGGATTTAATGCCTATCGTGGGTGTGGTTGAATCACGAAGGTTACGTCGTATAAAAGAACATAATGTTATTACATTTATAGTAGATATATAGTGATTTGTCTCATCGTACAAACGTACAATAGAAAACTATAGAATCGTTTTTTTTGGTTTATTGATGATCGCTGTGGGGTATTCCTTTGAGTGTTTATGAGCTGAAGAGTAGATTTGAAAGAGCAATACTTTATCCTGCTTGTATAATATATAATTTATACCTCTACGTCGTATTTTAATGAAATGCGTTTAATCCTTTGATACTATCACATTGTTATACGCCTCTGACGTATACGGTTTGATACGTACCTATAGTTCGGATGTGATAATGTTTATTTTCGAGCACACCCACTTTGTGGATGATCCTGTATCCTGAGACGCATGTTTATCAACATGTTCAAACTAAGGGTTTTGATTTCTTCAACGATTTGACAAGCTCGTTTTACAAGTCGATACATACCAGAATACGTTTTATCGGTGTACTATTGTTTTGTATTCACAGCCATTTGGCATTATTATTTAAATCCCGGATTTAATTATTAGGAACATTGTGGCTCTGCGTAAATCAGGCTAGTATAGTATTGACTGCAGGCTGATTGGTCGTTATCAATAAGAGACGATATTGACAACCGAACGTGGCTTAAGTCAAAATGATAAGCTACATAGGTGAAAATAGCCGTTTGAGATGTGGGGGAGCGGCTGAAGTCCTGCTATAATAATATTGAATACATTTTAAAAAAATGTAGGAAGTATTTTGAGTGAGGCTATTGAAATGTTTAGGGGTCTTAGCCCCTAAAGCACCCTCCCTATTTGTGCCTGTGTATATGAAATGCAAAATGGCAAGTAATATGGATATTTCATATCGATAACATGAACATTTGTAGATATATTGCTGATGTGGTAAACTCTGCGATTATCCGTACAAATATTGAAGACCATCTTAAAATTATTATTCCGAAGATTGCATATAGTTGTAAAATGCACATATTTGATCATTCATCAGTAAAATAGGTGTGACCGATATATTTTATCAAGTTGAGTGTCGATTGTTGTTCCATTTTAAGGAAGAGTTCAAAGAAATTTTAAATTCGTATATATTATATATACCTATATGCAATATAAATGAATGAATTATAATACCAACCAACGAAAATATTTCTCGTCGGGATCCACAAGAAAAAACCCAACGTAACATATCGCGAGGGAATGTAAGTTCACTAAGTGAGGAACTCACATTCAAACATACAACCCAACACAACCATCCTTAACAACAATGTGAGTCTATATATCTATAACAAGGCAAACATAACATATACATAACGTAACAACCCAGTACAGTATGAATAGACCACATAAATCGTAACAGAGTGGCCCTTATCATGACACAGGGGCGTAGGGCAATGTTATGTGAGTGGTTCAAAGAATTATACAAAAAAAAATTTCTATACCATTTTCTAGAAACAAAATTTGTTAATGTATAATATATATATAATATATATAGTGTAACTATACAAGTTACGTTGTTATTTTATTTTATTTTATTAAAGGGAATTATTTTTCCCTATTTTTTAGGTGTTAGAAAAAATTTTATCTATCAATCAAATATTTAAAAAGTTACCACAAACAAATGGTTCTGTGACCCTTATCCAAACAATATGTTTGATACATCGATAGAACATTATGTTTTTACATTTATATTTAAATCAAAAAGTGTTATCAGCTAATAAACTTTATTTGTTGTTATTTATAAAAATTAACGCATTTCACAAGCCGCCTTACTATAAATACCAAAATAGGTACCTACCCTAGATTATCAGGTCAATACCTATAATATATAACAAAAAAAGCACATAGTTAAAATTAAGTTAGAACAAAGCAATTAATTTGGAATCAATATGTTCTATCGGTAGAAGTTTTATTTTTAAAAAATAGAATTTTGAACAAAATGTTTTATCAGTAGAACCTTTTGTTTCCAAACTAGGAATTTTAAAGTTGTTTAATATTTTGAGTACTTAAAAGGATTTATTTTTGCAATACCTATTAATACATTTATAGAATGGAAGTTTGTGCATTTTTTCAGGCCGAATATTTCAAAATCGCTTGGGCAAAAATATTTTATTTTAATTTTTGAATCTTAAAAACGGTCTACTGAACAATGTTGATATTGTCACATAGAACTCTTTGATTCCAAGCCCGAGAAAAGCCATCGTTGTGACTATCACAATAATCTGGATTTGCATACATATACATACATATACATACATACATACATACATACATACATACATAAATATAGAAGTGTTACACCATACATTGACTTGGTATAATTTTACATGTGATCAATCGCACAGTTAATCAACATACATTTTTAAATATATTGACTATACATGTTTATTTAAAAAAAAAATAGTATGTATGTACCATTCTACATTATTTATGTATTATTATTTGATTTTCATTTATATAAACATTATATTAAAAAATACATTATATAAGTTTGTGCAACAACTCGATTGATACAATTTAACTAGAAAAAATGCATTTAAGTTCGTTCTGTGGTTTCCTGGTATTGTATAATGTATAGTTATAAATATATATACAGGCCGCAGATATTCAAAGTAGAAAACTCGTAAATATTGAAT